GCCCGGTGTGGGCCGGTGCCAAGGGCAGCACAGCCCCCGAGCCCTGCCCTGCCCTGCCCTGCCCGCGGCCACCGGGGACAGGGCTCCAGTCATCGCTCGCAGCTTGGGGACAGAGAGCCCAGCAGGTGTCACACACGGGGACAGCAGTGCCACACAAGGGGACAGCGGTGTCACACACAGGGACAGCGGTGGCACACAAGGGAACAGCGGTGGCACACACAGGGACAGCGGTGCCACACAGGGGGACAGCGGTGCCACACAAAGGGACAGCGGTGCCACACAAGGGGACAGCGGTGGCACACAAGGTGACACCTGAGTCACACAGAGGGTCACCAATGTCACACAGAGGGTCACCAGTGTCACACACGGGGACACCGGTCTCCCACAGAGCCCAGCAGCAGCCCGGCAGGGTCGCTGGGATGTGCCCACCCCGTGTCCCCTCGGGGACGAACCGGAGCCGGTGCCAGCGGGAGCGCAGCACCGCGGGCAGGGGAGGCCGGGCACGGCCGGGGCACGGCGGCCGCACTCACCCCCTTTCCTCCTGAAGAAGGACTCGGGGGGCCGCGGCATGTCGTGGATCACCTCGTAGAGCGGCTCGAAGTAGCGGAACATCTCCTCCGTGCTCTCGTCCATGGGCACGGTGTCGATGACCTGCGGAGGGCCGCGGCTGGGCACGGGCACCGGGCAGCGCCGGCCCGGCCCCGCCGCCGCCCCGTTACCTTCTGGGCCACCTTCTTCATCTCCGCCACGTACGCGGCCATCGCCTCCTCCTTGGACATCCCGCCCAGGCTGTGCCAGGCGTCCCTGCGGGGCCGGGGCCGTCAGCGGGGCCGGGCCCTCCGGAGCGGGACCGGAGCGGGACCGGGACCCCCCCCTTACCACTTGTAGCGGCCGATGGGGTCCCAGAAGCCGGGCCGCGGGCCCTGGCAGCGCCCCGCCGTCGCCTGCTTGTAGTAGCTGTAGAAGCGCAGCATCTCCTCGTAGGAGGGCCGGTACGCACCTGCGGGACACGGTCAGCGGGGCCGGCCCGCGGCGGCCGCCCGGCCCCGCTCCCGGCCCCTACTCACCGCTCCGCGGCAGCCCCTGGATCACCTGCACGGCGGCGCGGAACTGCGCCCCGCAGCCCGGCTCCTCCATGGCGGGACCGGCCCCGCACCGGCCCGGCCCGGCCCGCCGCGGCTCCCTCTCCGTGCGGCGACGGCGCGCGGCCAATCAGCGATCTTCTAACATCGGCCCCTCCGCGCCGCGCCCAATCAGCGTGAGTTTTACATCGGCCCCCTCCGCGCCGCGCCCAATCAGCGCGCGGCTCCCTGAACGGGCCCCTCCCTCCCCCGCGCTCCCGGCGCTCAGCGAGGCGCGCGCGCCCCCTGCCGGCCGGACGGGGCAGAGCGCGGAGCGAGGGGAGGGCGCCGCCTGGCGGGGACGGGAGGGACTGCAGAGCTGGGGACAGGGACAGGGACAGCGGGACAGAGGGACAGAGGGACAGAGGGACAGAGGGACAGAGGGACAGGGACAGGGACAGCGGGACAGAGGGACAGAGGGACAGCGGGACAGCGGGACAGCGGGACAGAGGGACAGAGACAGCGGGACAGAGGGACAGAGGGACAGAGGGACAGCGGGACAGAGGGACAGCGGGACAGGGACAGCGGGACAGAGGGACAGCGGGACAGAGGGACAGAGGGACAGAGGGACAGGGACAGCGGGACAGAGGGATAGGGACAGAGGGACAGAGGGACAGGGACAGCGGGACAGGGGGACAGGGATGGGGTCAGGGAGAGAGGGACAGAGGAATAGGGATGGGGATGGTGTGACTGGGACGGGGACAGAGGGACAGGGATGGAGACAGGGAAAGGGACAGGGACAGAGGGACAGGGATAGGGACAGGGACAGATAGAGAGGGACAGGGACAGTGTGACTGGGACAGGGACACTGGAACAGGGACTGTGGGACTGGCACAGCAGGACTGGGACAGACACAGTGGGACAGGGACAGCCAGCCAGGGACAGTGGCATAGCAGCACAGGGCAGTGGGACAATGAGAGACAGGACAGGAACAGCACACCAGGACAGTGAAACAGGACACAGGGACAGAGAAACTGCATCAGGATGGGTGCACCCAGACAGGCATGGGGACAGTGCCCGGGGACACTGCACCGGGACAGGGCACAGTGGGACGGTGTCTAGGGACAGTGCCCAGCACCCCGGAGCAGCGAGGCTGTGCCCGGCCCTGGCACAGGGACCCTGTGCAGGAGGACAGCGCCACGGGGCGGTGGCACAGCTCTGTGACACTGCAGCAGGCACAGGGACAGTGCTGGGGGTGCCACCTGGGCTGTGCAGCAGGACACGGCAGGCAGGAAGCGCTGCTGGGATGCTTTGGGACACTGGCACAGAGTGCCCAGAGCAGCTGGGGCTGCCCCTGCATCCCTGGCAGTGCCCCAGGCCAGGCTGGACGAGGCTTGGAGCAGCCTGGGACAGTGGGAGGTGTCCCTGCCATGGCAGGGGTGGCACTGGGTGGGTTTGAGGTCCCTTCCAACCCAAACCATCCTGGAATTCTGTGATAAATCATCCAGGATCCTGGGGCCATGCTTGGGGATACTGGGGCCATGCAGTGTGACACCAGGACAGTGCAATGGGGACGGGGACAATGGAGCCATGTACCAAAGGTGCCAGGGGAAGGGACCAGGAGACTGGGACACTGCACTGGGAATGTTGGACACGGCACTGGGATCTGGAACATGGCACTGGGACAGTGCCACCGGGCCACCGGGCAGGAGAGGGGACAGCTGGGTCAGGCAGAGCAATTGTTAATTATTGTCCAATTTTATCCCCTGTTCTTTTATTCACTGTATACTTTTAACCACTGTTAATTATTATCCAAATTAATTAAATATGGTAGTAAGGAAGGGGCAGAATTTGGGGTCCCTGAGCCCCCAGGGTGAAGCCCCTCTGCTCCAAGGGCTTTCTTTGAGGCAGGGAGCTGTGGGGACACGGGGACACGTGTGACCTGGCAGAACAAGGTGCCCCGGCGGGGTGAGAGGTTCTGGGGTGCCCCGGGGCCTACCTGGATCCAGCCTGGCCCAGGATGCTGGGATTGGGATGCAGAGCAGCTTTCAGCATCCCTGTGCTGCCTTCATCCTTGCCTCCCACTCCGGTTTTCCAACCTTAACCCCACCTCCAAACCCCAAATCCAAGTGGGTCAACACCTCCCAACCCTCCTAAATCACATCCACATCGCCTGGGGAAACATTTCCTTTGCCAATTGAAGGCAAACAAATGAAATAAAGAATGAAAAACTAATAAATAAATGAAATCCAAGCAGTAAAATCTCTTAAACCTCCGGCCATTTCCAAGCCCTGACTCAGGATTCCTGCTGGGAAGGGCGGCGAATCCCGAGCGCTGATTCACGGCACACGTGCTGCGCTATAAGCGGCCGGGAATGCGATCCCGCTTTCCACGGGATCCCTTCCAACCCGCTGGCGGCCGGGAGAAAATAGCAACGCCGCGGGAGGGGAGGAACCGCGCAGGGATTTGTTGTGCCGCGGGTTTTGCAGCCAGAGGTGTTTATCCTGCTCATTCCACCCGGGCGAGGCATCTGCTGCTGAATTCCTGGGAATGCAGCTTCCATGGGAGGAAGAGAGCTTGGAGCAGAGCCCGGTTATGTGGCTTGCAAGTGCATTTTTGGGGTGGCTCCGGTGTCCCTCTGTCCCCAAACTCTTCAGGAAGAGCTTCATCCCCACCAAACACAGCCCAGGGACTGCACAGATGTGTCTCCAGCTGCCCAGATGTTGCAGGAGCTGCTCAGGTCTTGAACTACAGCACTAAAATTCTGTCCCAGGCTGCTCAGAGGCTGCCCAGGTGTCTTCCTGAATGTACAGATGTTGCTCTGGGATAAGCAGAGATGGTCCCAGGAGTCCCCAGATGTTATTCTGGGTGCTCAGATGTTGCTCAGGACACACCCAGGATGCCCAGATGTTCCCTCAGTGTATTCCCCCATCCCCCAGGGTACCCAGATGCTGCCCTAAGTGCCCAGATGTCACCCCAGGACACTCAGTATTACTCACCATGCCCAGATGTTGCCCAGATGTTGCCCAGATGTTGCCCAGATGTTGCTCCAGTCTGCCCCGCTCTCACCCCTGGATGCCAGGGGCTGGCAGCACCCCTGTGGCCCTGGCACTGGGGAAAGTCATCTCCTCCTCCTGTCCTGGAGCTCCTGGTCCCCACAGCCCAGCCAGGCCTGGGGTGGCCTCCCTGCTCCCCTGGACACTCTGGATTTTTGGAAAAGCCTGAAGTGACTCATCCCTCCCTGCCCCACCACCCTCAGGGGTGGCTGGGGGAAAACGGCCTCAGGCTGGGCCAGGGCAGGCTCAGGGTGGACACCAGCAGGAATTTCCCATGGAAAGGGGGATCAGGCCTCGGCAGGGGCTGCCCAGGGAGGTTTGGAGTGCCCAGCCCTGGAGGTGCCCAAGAACCATTGGTGTGGCACTCTGAGCTCTGGGCTGGTGACAAGGGGGGTCAGGCACAGCCTGGACTCGGTGATCCCGGGGGTCTTTCCCACCCTAAACCCTTCTGGGGTCTGTGTGAGCGTGGCTGCACATCCACACTCACAAACAAACACACACACACACACACACACTCACACACACACACACTCTCACCTCACACTCTCACCTCACAATCTCACACGCGGGGCTCTGGGACTGGCACCTCCCCGCTGACGCTGCTGCCCCTCCCGGGGTGTCCCACGGTGGGGACAGTCACCTGGAGGTCCCAGTCCCTGCCTGCGGCCCTCAGCCCGGTGCCACCCAGGCCATGAGCTGGGGACAGGGCTGGCACGGCAGGACCGGGTCCCCGGTGCCCTGGGCATGCCCTGGGTGCCCACCGGCGCTGCCAGGGCGGCGCTGGCCCCGGGCAGAGGGGGCTCCCGCCGGTGACCGGCCGAGCCCGGCTCCCTGGCAGGGGCCGGTGCCCGGTGCAGGCGGACCCACGGGGGCAGTGGGGACCCCCGGTCTGTCCCCGCCGGCCCTTCGGACACAGCGGGACCGCCGCACAGAGCGAACACCCGGGGGGGCACGTCGGGACCCGGCCCGGTGCCGGTGCCGAAGCAGCCGCGGAGCAGAACGAGCCCGGCGCAGCTCGGTCCCGTCCCGGTCAGCCCCGGCAGCCCCGGGCCGGCACAAACGGTTAACAGCGGCCGGGCTGCGGTGTGGCTCCTCCCGGTCCCTCCCCGCAGCCGGCCCCGGTCACGGCCCGGCCGCCCAGCCCCAGCCCCGACCTCCGCCACCGCCCAGCCCGGTTACACCGGCCGGGGGCACCGGCGTACCGGGAGCAGCAGAACCAGCCGGGGCACCGGGAGCACCGAGAGCACCGGAGTCCCGGAACACCGGGAATAGCGGCGGCACCGGCGGTGCCGGGGGTCCCGGTCATGATCTGCGGCAGGAAGGCGCGCCCCGCCGCCGAGCAGCTCCGCGCCCCGTCTGAAGGCGCCGGTGGCTCCCGCCGGCCCGGGAGAGCCCTGAAGAAAATGGGTGAGTTCGGCAGGAACCGGGCAGAAACCCCGCAGGGCTGGGCCGAGGGGTCCGGGAGGGATCTCCGTGCCCGGGAGGGTCCCCGAAGTGGGGGGGACCCTTGTGACGGGAACAGGTCCCCAGGGCAGGGGGGCCCCCATGGCTGAGATGGGTCCCCAGGGACGGAAAGGTGCCCCTGGCTGGGAGGGTCCCCGAGGTGGATGGGTTCCCCCACAGCAGGGAGGGGTCCCCCGGGGTGGGAGGGGTCCCTGCGGCCCGCCCAAAATAGCTGTGCATCACCCCAGCCTTTGGGGAACAGCGGGGTCGGGGTTTGGCCACATCACAGGTGACAGGAGCCCCCTTGTTCAGGGCATTTATTGTCCCCAAGGCTCAGGTCCCACTCCCCAGGACCCTCCCCAACACCCTGCCTCAGTTTCCCCGCCGAGGCTGCTGCCCTGGCAGTGGGCACACGGGGCTCACCAGTCAGGCAGGGCCGGGGTGCCCGGCAAGGTCAGGGCGTGTCCCTGGGAGCGGCCAGCCCGCAGTGGGAGCAGCGGGAGGGGCCGGGTCTGGCCTTGTGCCCCCAGCTTTGGACACGGGGCCGTGTGCCTGGAGCTGCTGCAGCTCCGTGTGTCCACGTCGTGTGTCTGTGTGTCCCTGTGGCTCTGTGTCCTTGCACCCATCTGTCCCTGCACCTCTGCATCCACACATCCATGTGTCCATCTGTCCTTGTACCTCTATATCCATGTGTCCATCTGTCCTTGTACCTCTATATCCATGTGTCCATCTGTCCCTGTACCTCTATATCTCTACATCCACAGGTGCATCTGTCCCTGCACCCCAGCCCCTGTGTGTCCATGTCTCCCCTGGGCTGTGTCTGGGAGCACCCACCCCTATGTCCATGCATGTCCGTGTGTCTGACTGTCCGTGCATCCCAATGCTCATGCCCCCATGTGCCCCCGTGTCCGTGTGTCCTGGCAGCAGTGCATCCATGCACCTGTGGATCCATGCATCCCTGCATCCATGACTCTGTCAGCTCATTCCTGTGTCCACTGTGACTCTGTGTGACAGAGCAGCTGTGTCCCTGCTCCCAGATGTGCCTGTGTCCATGCATCCATGCACGTGTACATGCACCTGCCTGAATGTCCCTGTGTTTGTCTGTCCTTCCATCAGCAGATCCATGTACCCACACATCCCTGCATCTCTGTATCCATCATCCACGTGTCCTTGTGTCTGTACATCCACGAGCACACTGCACCCCGGTGTCTGTGCACCCACACACCAGTGCCTACAGACCTGACATTCCATGTGCCCAAGGACCTGTATCCATGTGCCCATCCCTGTGCCCAAGGACCTGTATCCATGTGCCCATCCCTGTGCCCAGGGACCTGTATCCATGTGTCCCTGGATCCCTGCAGCCCCATGCTCCTGCAGCCATGTCCCCACACCCCATACCCTCCATCCTGCACCTTGGGCAGGATGTGACCATGCAGGAGGTGCTGGCAGCTGGTGGCTGCATGCCCAGGGCCATGGTGGCTCAGGATGTCCCCAGAAGTCCCCAAGCCACCCTTTCCCAGCCCAGGAGTGGAATCTCCATCCAGAGCAGGACGTGGCCACTGGAGATCCCAGGAATGGCTGCCGAAACAATAAAGGGAGGAAATAACCACTCCGAGAAGAGATGGAAAAATCCCGGCTGAGGCGTGGGCCCACGAGTCCCCTGAGTCCACCCTGTCATTGTTCCCAGCCTGAGCTCTGCTGCTGGCACCGTCCTGGCACTCTCCATGCAGGATCTGGGCAGCTTTGCTGGGATTTAGCAGCTGAGCTGTGTCACTGCTGTGTCCTGTCCCCCGTGAACAGCTCCAAAGGGGCCCAGGGCAGTGGCTTGTCCTGTCTGTCCTCTCCTGCCTGTCCTGTTCCATCCCATCCCAACCTGTTTGTTCCATCCCATCTGCCTCATCTTGTCCCTGCTCACCTGTCCCATCCTGTCCTGCCCACTGTGTCCCATCTAGTCCAGTCTGCCTAGACTGGCAGACTCCCTCCTGTCCAGTCCTATTTGTCCCATCTTGTCTCATCTGCATTGTCACATTGTGTCATTCACGTCCCACCCCACCAGCCTCTCCTATCCATCTCACCCTGTCCCATCCCACCCCATGCCATCCCATGCCATCCCATCCCATCCCATCCTATCCCATCCCATCCGTCCTGTCCCATTTGTCCCATGCCATTCCATTGGATACAGATGTGCACCCAGATGTGCACCAACCCCCCCCAGCCCGTGCCCCCTGACCCCCCCGAGCCCTCGGTAGCCCAGGGCTGTCCCCGCAGGCCTGACGGAGGATGAGGATGTGCAGCGGATGCTCCAGGGGTCCCTGCTGTGGAAGGTGAAGGCCAGGGGGGGCTCCAGGGCGCGGCTGTTCCGCCTGCAGGAGGACGGGGTCACCGTCTGCTTCGAGGGACGCTTCCGGGGCGCCCGCTCCCCCCAGAGCTGTGAGTGCTGGCACTGTCCCACGGGGCTCGGGGACACCGAGACACAGCCTGCGCTGCCCTCCGCTGCAGGGAGGGCCAGGAGCTGGGCAGGGCCCCAGACCCACCCCTAGACCCCACCAAGGACCTGACCCTTACCCAGACCCCCACCTGGAGCCCCAATGCCAATCCAGGACCTAGGCCACAACCTTGGTCTGGGTTCCCACACAGAATCCAGATATGGACATGTCCATGTGAGACCCAGACCCCAACCCAGGACCCCCACCTGGAATCCAGACCCTACCCCAGGACCTGCACCCCCACCCAGGACCCAGATCCATTCCCAGCATCCAGAACCCCACCTGGATCCTGACCACAGCCCAGTTCCCAGACCCCCACCCATGACCTGGGTCCCCACTCAGAACCCAGATCCCCCCTGAGTTCAGACCCCAACCCAGGACCCAGATCCCAGCCCAAGACCCAGACCCCCCAGTGAGAACCAGACCCAATCCTGGGACATGGAACTCCACAGTCCAGACCCCACCAGTGCCCCAGATGCCCCTGGGACCCAGATCCCTGCCTGGTTCCCCATCTGTGACCTGGACCCTGATCCCCACCCAGGACCCTGACATCCCCCTCACTCGGACCCCAGTTGAGGACACAGACTCCCACCCAGCACTCAAACCCCAATCCTGCACCCCAAGCCTTTGGTCCAGACCCTCACCTGAGCTATGATGTAGACCCCCACCCAATACCTGAACTCCAGCACCCTTCATGGAGTGGCTCCCAGAGCCTCCCAACCCTTCCCAGTGCCTCCCAGTACAGCCCGTGTGTAGCTGTAAGAGCCCCCGCCCTTCCCCATCCCCCCGGGGTCAGCACAAGGTCCGCTCTCCATCCCAGCCAGACTCCATCCCCCCCCTCGGCGTCACCCGCCTCTTTCCACCCTCATCTGGGATGGGTGCCTGGAGCTGGCACCGCTGCACGGCGGCTCCGTCCCCTGCCAGCGTCCCCGTCCCCATCCCCGCAGGGACAGCGGCCACGGCTCCCGTCCCGCCTGGGATTAGCGGGATCAGCCCGGCAGCGGCTCCGAGCCCAGCGCGGTGCCGGGGGCGCCGCGGGGACGCGCGGGTGTCCATCAGCAGCCAGGGTGTCTTGCAGGATGCTGGCGGGTGGGTGACCCGCCGGGGGAGCACGTCCATGGTCCCTCCCCACCCCGCGCGTGTCCCCGCAGTCTCGGTGGCGCACATCGAGGCGGTGCGCGACGGTCGCCGGTCGGAGGGGCTGCGCAAGCACGGGGCCGCCTTCCCCGAGCGCCACTGCTTCACCCTCGCCTTCAAGGGCCGCCGCAAGAACCTCGACCTGGCCGCCCGCGGCGAGGAGGACGCGCGGCACTGGGTGCAGGGGCTCACCAAGCTGATGGGGCGGCTGCAGGCCATGAGCCAGATGGAGAAGCTCGACCAGTATCCTTCAAGGGGAGCTTGGGGACAGGGTGGGGACGGCTGCAGGTGACACCCGGAGGTTTCCTTAGCCCGGTGCAGTTGGATCCATGGGGTCCTGCAGCGAGCAGACAGGAACAAGGACAACAAGATGTCCTTCCGGGAGGTGAAGAGCATGCTGAGGATGCTCAACATCGACATGGACGATGTCTACGCCTCCAAGCTCTTCAAGGTACCTGTCCTGAGCTGCACCATCCACTGGCTCCTTCTCTGCCTTCCCCAGCACAGAGAACTGACAAACTCCTCACACCAAAGCCACCCACTGCCACCAAGGGTTGGGTCCCACCAGGAGCACATGGTGGGGACGGGTGAGGTGGGCTGAGCTGTCCCAGCCACTGTTCTGTGTGTCCCCAAGTTGGGACATTTCTCCCCCATGGAGAACTGTTCCTCTGGGCGTCTCCCACAGTCCCTTTCCACCTAGGGAAACTGAGGCACGGAGCTCTGCTCTGTTCCACCCCAGAGTGGAGGGTCAGAGGGCTCTGGCTGGGGGAACAGAGGGGGCAGTAGCTGAGCTCCCCAAACTCGTCCCACACACCCTGCCCACCCCAGGGGACAGGCAGAACAAGGCAGGGGATGGCTGTACGCCATCAACACAGGGAGGGGACAGTCCCTGAGGCTGGGCTGTGCCACCAGGAGTGTGACCACTCGGGCAACGAGCGGCTGGAGGGCCGGGAGCTGGAGGAGTTCTGCCGGCGGCTGCTGCGGCGCCCGGAGCTGGAGGAGCTTTTCGGGCGCTACTCGGGCGAGGACCGGGTCCTGTCGGCCGAGGAGCTGCAGGACTTCCTGAGGGACCAGGGCGAGGACTGCAGCCTGCGCCAGGCCCGCTCCATCATCCGCACCTACGAGCTCAACGACAAGGGTAGGGTGGGGGTGTGGGGTCATGGGGTGGGCACTGCCGGAGCCACGGGAGATGATGGGTGGAGGGATGGGGCTCTGATTGGTGGCATCACCCTCCAAACGGGTATGGGGTCCTCCAAGGCTTCTATTACTGTCCTGGTGCCCATTCCCAGTGTTTGCCATCCAACACATGGCCTGGCTGGCACCTGGTGGATGTGACACCAGGGGGACAGGGCGTGCAGGTGGGCTTCCATGTCTCATGGGTGGTGTGATGCCAGTTCTGGTACGAATGTGACACTGCTGAGGGACTTCTGTCCTCCTCAGGTCCCACCATGGCAGGTGCAGGGTGAGCACAGCACGAGGGGACATCATGGTGGGGATGAAGGACCTCCGTGTCACAATAGTACCCTTAACGTAGATGTGGCACTAGGAGGATGGAGGACATCAGATGGGAGATGGGACACAAAGGGGACCTCCCCTGAGTGCCACAGTGCCAGGTCTGGGGTGACATGGCACTGGGAGGACAGAGAGTATCAGGGTTAGGACAGGGAACTTCCACACCTCATGGGTGTCACCATGCCACATCCAGAGTGAATGTGGCACCAGCAGGATGGGTGACATCAGGATGGAAATGGGACACTTGAGGGAACTTACACGTGCCCTGGGTGCCACAGTGCCAGGTCAGGGATGAACATGGCACCTCCAAGTGGGGAAGGTCCTCAGGGTGCCACCCTGCCAGCACCATGTGACAGCTGCCACCGTGCCCCGCAGCCAAGCAGCAGGACCTGATGATGCTGGACGGCTTCATGATGTACCTGCTGTCGGCTGCTGGTGACATCCTCAACCAGGAGCACACCAAGGTGCACCAGGACATGAGCCAGCCCCTGAGCCACTACTTCATCTCCTCCTCCCACAACACCTACCTGACCCGCAACCAGATCGGCGGCACCAGCAGCACCGAGGCCTACGTCAGGTGCGTGTCCCCAGCCCCATGGAGCCCCAGAAGGTGCCGTGGCTCCAGGGGGACAGGGACTGACCTGGTGCCGCTGTGGTGGCAGGGCGCTGAGGGCAGGGTGCCGCTGCGTGGAGCTGGACTGCTGGGAGGGCTCGGACGGGGAGCCTGTGGTCTACCACGGGCACACACTCACCTCCAAAATCCTCTTCCGCGACGTCATCGAGAGCATCCGCGACTCCACCTTCGAGGTGAGACGGGGTGGCAGCCCTGGGGGTGCTCGGTGCCCGGTGCCAGGTGCTGAGCGCTGCCCCTCCCCGTGCCCAGAAATCCCCCTACCCCGTCATCCTGTCCCTGGAGAACCACTGCGGGCTGGAGCAGCAGGCCACCATGGCCCGGCACATGAAGGCCATCCTGGGGGACAGGCTGCTGACACAGCCCCTGCAGGGGCAGGACCCCCACCATCTCCCCTCACCAGAGGTAAGGCCACCTACGTGCCACCGCAGTGTCCCCATGTCCCCGCTGAACTCTGAGCTCAGACCTGCCCTCTGTAGCAGCTGAAGGAAAAGATCCTGGTGAAGGGCAAGAAGCTGCCAGAGCTGTGGCAGGAGCCCCAGGGTGTCACCTCCCTTCTGGACCCCGAGGAGGAGGAAGAGGAAGAAGAGGAAGAAGAGGAGGAGAAGGGGCAGGAGAGAAGCCCCCGGCGGGTAAGAGACTTCCCCGGGATGTGGTTTTGGGGGACCACAGCATCCTGGTGGTCCTGATGGATCAGAGCATCCTGGTGGTACCAGGGGACCATGGCTCCTGGCACTGTCGCAGCTGAGCACTGCCAGCTCTGCCATCCCTCTGCAGCCCTGCTCTCTCCTCTTTCAGTCGCTGCAGTCGCTGCAGGAGATCAAACCTCTGCAGGTGGGTGATGGGCTGGAGCTGGGGGGGCTGACAGGGCGGCTGCTGTGGGTGCCACTGCCTGGAAGAGGGGACAGAGCTTGGGGACCCCTCAGCTGTGCCTCCCTCTTCCTCTGGGGCTGGCTGGCCTGTGTCTGGGGTTTCCAGCACTTTGATTTCTCTGTCACCTCAAGTTCTCCATCATGTTGGGCCTGCATCACATCCAGGGTGACCTTTTGGGGTCGGCATCACTTTGGGGTCTCTGTCACCACAGGTATTCCATCATCTCGGGGTGCCCATCACCCCAGGTTCTCCAGCACTTTGCGGTCTCCCTCATCCTGGGGTCTGTAACATCTCAGGCTGTCCATCCCGTTGGGTTCTCCATGGCTGCAGGTTCTCAACCTGCTTGGGTTCCCCATCAGGCCCTGGTCCATCATTCCATTGCCTCGGGTTCTGCACCACCTTGGGGCTCCCCTGCTTTGAGGGTCTCCATGGCCTTGGGGGTCTCAGCACTCAGCACTAGCAGGGAGGGGGTCTGTAGACCCTTGGACTGGCAGGTGCCACCAGGGCCAGCTTGTCCCTGATGCCACGGTGGCTCCCGCAGGCCAAGGACGCTTCGCAGGTGTCCCCGGAGCTGTCGGCACTGGTGGTGTACTGCCAGGCTGTCCCCTTCCCCGGGCTGGCCCAGGCCCTGCGCCACCCCCAGCCCTGCCAGATGTCCTCCTTCAGCGAGAGGAAGGCACGGAAGCTCATCAAGGAGGCAGGTGAGGGCCACCAGGACAGGATGGGGACAGGAGGTCCACACTCCTGAGTCACTGGGATGCAGGATGGGCTGAGCCACTCCAGGGTGGCTCCATGACTGGTCAGGGTCACGCTGGCCTCACCCAGGCTGCCCTGGATGGGTCTGCCTGGGGCCTGGCTGGGGCCAGAGGCCAGGGTTAGGGTCACACAACCAGGATCAAGGTCTGGATCAGGATTTAGGATGTGGCATCTGGGTCCAGGGACTGGGGCTGGAAATAGAGTCTGGGTCAGAGTCCAGGGATTGAGGTCTGGGGTCAAGGGCTGGGGCTGGGGTCAGGGTCAGAATCTGAGGTCAGGGCCTGAGATTAAGATTTGAGTCAGTGTTCAGGGTCTGGGGTCCAAGGTCAGTGTCTGGAGTCCAAGGTCAGTGTCTGGACTCAAGGATTATGATCTGGGTCAGGGCATAGGCTTGGGGGTCTTGGTTTGGAGTCTGAGGTGCAGGGATCAGGGTCAAGATGTGGGGTCAGGGTCTGGGTTCCATGGTCAAGGTCCAGGGTCAGGGGTATAAAGTCAAAGTGTGGGGTTACAAAGATCAGGATCAAGGGTCAGAGGTTTGGGGTCAGGGGTCCAAGGTCAAGGTCCAGGTTTGGGGTCTGAACTCCAGGGTCTGGTTTCAGGGTCACATGTCAGGCTCAAGGCAGGCTCTGTCCATGTCCTGGGGCCCATCAGCCTCTCTTGGGGCCCCCCAGCAGCACTGGAGGGTGCAGCAGCCCCCTGAGCCGTGTCCCCCCGCAGGCCCGGCGCTGGTCCGGTACAACGCCCGCCAGCTGAGCCGCGTGTACCCGCTGGGGCTCAAGATGAACTCTGCCAACTACAACCCCCAGGAGATGTGGAACGCTGGCTGCCAGCTGGGTGAGACCCCCAGGCCCCCCTGACCTGGCAGCCACCCCTGGAGCCGTCACCCCCCCTGAGAGCCCGTCCTGCTGTCCCCACAGTGGCGCTGAACTTCCAGACTCCGGGCTACGAGATGGACCTGAACGCCGGGCGCTTCCTGCCCAACGGCCGCTGTGGCTACGTGCTGAAGCCCCTCTGCCTGCGCAGCCCCCCCGGGGAGGGCTCCCGGCGCCTGGCCCTGCACATCAGGGTGAGGACACCCCTCGAGCCTGTCCCCAGGCCTGGCTGGGTGCCACCCACGTCCCTGCTGAGTCGCACCCATGACATTCTGATGTCTGGTCAGGTGGTACCTGCATCTTTTCCCAGATGATGCCAACTCTGTCCCCAAATCCAGCTGGTATCAGCCATGTCCCTTCTCGGAGATGGCATCAGCCACCTCCTTCCTCCCCAACACATCCCCAATCCCAGCCAAGTGCCACCCACATCCCTCCTCCTGGGGACCCAGCAATATGTCACTCATGTTCTTTCTCCTGCTTGGTACCAACAATGTCCCTCCTCTTCACCCCATCCCCACCCCTGGCTGGGTGCCATCCCCTTCTGGGGACACCACCTTGTCCCCAGCCATGTGCCACCATGTCCCTTCTCCTGGATGGCACCAGCCACCTCCCTCCTCCTCATCCCATCCACTCTCCTGACTGTGCCACCCATGACACATCTCCTGGGTGACACCAACCCTGTCCCCAAATCCAGCTGGTGTCAGCCACTGGGTGGCATCAGCCACCTCCCTCCTTTCACCGTGTCCCCAGCCCCAGCCAAGTGCCACTCACGTCCCTTCTGGGGACACCAGTGCTTTCCCCACACCCCCATCCCCACTGTGCCCTGGTCCCCTGTGCCACAGGTGATCACGGCCCAGCAGCTGCCCAAGCTGAACAGGGACAAGGGCAGCTCCATCGTGGATCCCTTCGTGCGCGTGGAGATCCACGGGACCCCGGCCGACTGCGCCAAGCAGCAAACCCACCACAAGCTCAACAACGGTGAGTGCTGCCACCTGGGCACCCCCGGGGTCACCCCTGGGCACCACTGGGCACCCTCAGGGACACTCCAGGGCACCCCGACCCCCAGGGACATCCAGTTACCTCTCACAACCCTACTACTGCCCGAATCCCAGGAATGCCCAAGGACAACCCAGGGTCTCTTGGAGCACCCTGATCCCTGCAGACACCCCATGGAACCTGATCTCCAGAGGGGCTCCAGGACACCCTCAGGACACCTCGTTCCCAGGGACACTCCAGGGCACCCTGATCCAGGGACACCTTGATGCCAGGGGCACTCTAATCCCTGTGAGGGACAGTGCCTTGGGTACCACTCACTGCCAGTTGAACCAGTGCCCAGGACATCCCAGTGCCCAGGACATCCCAGATTACCCCCTGCACCACAATGTCCCCTCCCCAGCACAGCCAGATCCCCACCCGTGGCAGGGTCCATCATGTCCCAGTTCTCCCAGTGCTGCTCCCTCACGGTCTCCAGTACCAAGCCCAGAGTGATGCCCATTCTCCCCAGTACGACCCCCCACTCCCCCAGTATACCCCACCACGGCCCCAGTGTCACCCCATTCTCCCAGTATGGTCCAGCGCAGCTCCAATATAACCTCCATTCCCCCAGAATATCCCATCAGAGTCCCAGCATGATCCCATCCCTCCAGTATGCTGCACCTCAGTCACTGCACAACCCCCATTCTCCCGATATAGCCCAGTCCAGTACCAGTTTGGCCCTCTTTTCCCCAGTATACCCCATCATGTCTCCAGTATGATCCCCATTTCCCCAGTACAGCCCCTGTTCCCCCACCATACCCCAGTGCAGCCACATCAGAACCCCTTTTCCCCAGTACACCCCATGGTGGCCCCAGCATGATCCCAGTCCCCCACCATGACCCCATTCCCCCAGCATGCTCCACCACAGCCCCAGTATGACCCCCTTTTCCCCAGTACACCCCACTGCAGCCCCAGCATCACCCCACTCCCCACATCCCCCAGTGCAGGACGGCAGCTCAGTGGGGGCAGGGGCAGTGCCCGGGGGTCCTGCCGCTCCCTGCGTGGCCCCGGTGGCCCCGGTGACCACCCCCACCCCCACGCCGGTGCCGCAGGTTTCAACCCGCGCTGGGAGGAGACGCTGCGGTTCCAGGTGCGGGTGCCCGAGCTGGCCCTGGTGCGTTTCGTGGTGGAGGATTACGACAGCACCTCCTGCAATGATTTCGTGGGGCAGTTCACGCTGCCCCTGCCCAGCATGCGCCAAGGTGGGTGCCGGTGCCACCCCGCTGCCCCCCGGGGATGGGGACAGCCCCTGGCACCCGCTGAGCCCCCGTCTGTCCCCAGGGTACCGCCACATCCACCTGCTCTCCAAGGACGGGGCGTCCCTGTCCCCCGCCACGCTCTTCGTGCACGTTCGATCCAAGAGCCTGTGAGGGTCCACAGGAGGGACAACCTGCAGTCCCCGAGGTGCCCATGGGGGGACATTGTGTCTGTGTGGGGGACAGCAGGCTCCTCTTTGGGTGGGCACCCTGCGTGGGGACAGCCTGAGGACACTGCTCAGCTGTCTGTGGTGACAGCAGGGCTGGGAGGACCTGAAGGGCTGGGGGCTCCCCTACCCACTGCCACCCACTCTGCTGGTGCCCCACTCCTGTCCTTGAGGGGACAGAGATGCTGTGACAACCAGGATGGGTTGATTGGGCCAAGGACAGCCCAGCACAGCCCCACAGGGGTGACATGGGTGACAGCAACCACCAAATCTCACCAGTCTTGGCCATGCTTGATCCCAGCCCCTCTTTGGGTGCAAGGATGGTGCCATCATCACCCTGGAGTCCCTGAGGGGCCCCTGCCACCACACACTCCATTGTGCCCGGGTGGGGACACATTGCCAACCTCTGCCCTGGCACCAGCGACAGTCACAGATTTACACCCCGGGATCAAGCCAGTCGAATAAAGGTTTTATTTTAACAGAGCCTGTCCCAGTGTTCCTGTCACCCTCCGGAGCCCATCGTGGGTGGATCAGGGCTGAGCCTACCCCTAAGTCAGCAGTGCCCTGGGGTGCCAGGCACCCATGGGTACTGCACCCATGGAAGCTGGGGGAATTCATTGGAGAGCCCTCAAACCTGCCATGGGGACAGGAGGAGGGTCCCATGGGGTGTCCCCTACCCACACCCAGCCTCTCCTAGCCCAGGACAGCAGGGACACAGGAGGGGACACAGAGGTACTTGCATAGGTGACACAGGACCCCGAGCAGGGGGATGTGATGGCACTGCCAGGGGGATGTGATGGGCTCCTGGTCCCCACTGAGGCCCCACAGGTCCAGGCTGAGCAGGCACAGGCTCTCAGGGTCCGTGGTGCCACGGGGGGTGGGTGACAGGGACACGCGAGGACAGGAGGCGTGAGAGTGCATAGACGGGGTCTTGGCCTTGGTGTGCAGCTTTGGAAACCTTTGGCTGGGCAGGCAGGAGCATCTTGGAGCTCTGGGTTCGTGACGTGGCAGGAGGCTGTCCGGGCTCTCCTGGGTGGGATGAAGGTTTGCTGTGACATTTCCTTTCTCTCGGCGGATCCCACAGCACGAGGTGACACCGGGAGCTGGTGTGGAGGCACCTGGGAGGCTGAAGCCCCGGGGTGATGCTGATGGAGTGTCCATATTTCCATGCTTCCGGAGAAAAGCAGCTGAGCAGAGAGGCTGGTGGTGTGGCAGTGGCAGTGGAGCACCCCCAGTGCCCCATCCCCGTGGAAGGCTGAGGGGAAGGAGCCCCAGGAGCCCGAGCAGAGCGGGGTGTGCCAGCCTGCCCTGGAGCTGAGCCCCCGGATCTTCGGGCACTGCTGGCCCTCGGGTCAGCGTCCAGCAGGAAGGGTGGAGTCTGTGGCTGGGCAGGAGGTGGGACAAGGCATCGCTTGCACAAATAGCCCTTGGAAACGAATCTCGAGGTGCTCCCGAGCCCGCGGGGGCGGGCCCTGTTTAACTGAGTCAGGAGCAAGCCGGGGACAAAGAGCCGAGCAGGGGAGAGCCTGAAGCACCCTCGGGGCAGGCAGGAGGGTTTGGCCAGCAGCCACCATGTTGCCACAGCATCAACCTCAGCTGTCCCCACGGAGAAAAGTCCCAGTCCAGCAGCCCAGTGATGACCTTCAGCAGCCGAATGTAACTCATGGCAGTGGGGAACAGGAAAGATTTAAAATATATATAATATATACTTTTATTATTCACCCGTTAAATCCATTATATGCCAATCATGATCTAGTTTCAGCAGTTACATTCCCTTGATCATGTCTTTAGGAGGATGCAGTTGAATCAAACAAGGAGGTGGCTGACAGCAGCGGGCGGCTCCGGTGCCCCTCTCCCGGCGTGGCTCCGGCTTTGGCAGAAAGGATGAGGGCAGCACCTCCTCAGGCCCGGCTCCTCCACGCTCTCCTGGCAAGGGCTCCCTTACTGCAGCACCAATCCAACCTGGAAATAGGGATCAGGATAGAAATTGGGGTCAGGAGGTGTCCTCTGCTCCGTTCCCAGCCATGCTGGGAGGGCTCGGTGCTGTCTGTGTCGGTTTCCCCACTGGTTTTGGGGTATTTGAGAGCAGCAAAGCCCTGGGTTTGTGGCTGAGTGGGCACAGGGGCCATGCCCAGCTCTGATCTGGGGAGGTGACCAATGTTTGGTGTGTGACAAACCCCATCAGGTTATGAGACAGCCTTGATTCATGAGCCAAGGGTGTTTGTCAGCTCATGATGAGTAGAGGGATGGAACACCTCTGCTAGGAAGTGGGGTACTCTTAAGGTCCCTTCCAACCCAAACCATTTCATGATTCTGTGACTTGGGAGAAGCTGCTTCCCAAGAGCCTGGTCCCTGGACATGTCCCTCCACAGGCAGCTGGCACTGCTGGGGACCCTCCAGGACGTGCTGCTGGCCTGTCACGCACTCTGACCCAGTGGACCCCGAGGCAGCCCCACCACAGGAACATTCCCAGCATCAGGCTCTCCCAACTCCAGTTCTCCCAGTTAAAGAAGGAATTGCTGGCACATCCTGGGAACCTACTGGGGCTTCCTAGGAGGCTCAGCAGGCAAGTGAGGCTGGTTTAGGGCACAGGGCTTGTGCCCAGAGACAGACCTGGCTTCACACCAGGGAACCAAAGCCCTATGACTGCCATCAAGGCATTAATTAGCTGTTAATTAGCTGCAATGTAGCCGGGTAGATTCTGGTTCTCAAGCACCATCCTCTGCACGGTGGCTGTGGACTGGACAGGTGCTGAATCACCTCTCTGGAGTGGAGGGACAGTAGCAACCAGGTGCTGCCTCAGAATGGCCCAGGGCAGGCAGATGGGGACCCTGCACAGCTCTGGGAGCAGTGGGGAACAGGCTGCTGGCCCTGGGGACAAATGACATCCTGGGATCCTGTGGCTCAGCCCCCTGCATGTGGTGGCAGAGCTCCTCTGTCCCAGGTCCTGCTCCAGCCTGCCTGTTCTCTCCAGAGGAGTGGCTGCTCCTCCCACCCCACCAGGACACACTGACAACCAGGGCTGTGCAGTGACACCCATGTCCCATGAGGGATCACAGGTGACTGTCACAACCCCCCGTGTCACATCTGTCACCCTGCAGCCCTCTGCTGTCTCCTCTGTGCTTGGCCTCCTTCCTTAGAGGGAAGGAGTTGGTGTGAGGGGAAGGACTCAACCTGCACTAATCCAGGAGTAAAATTAGCTTTGGAAGATGAGTGTGGAGGGTTCTCCCCAGGGACACACTCTGCAGGCACAGGAGATGGCAGAGGGATCCACCCTCACCGTGTGGGACACTGCAAGGACACCAGCTGGGCTGGAGTGCTGAGCTGTGGGTGACAGCCAACTCATGTCCCCAGGGCTGTGGGGCTGAGACCCCTCCTCACAGCACTGACCTTCTCTGGTGCCATGCTGGGACACTTCCAATTGTACAGGTAATACTGCAGGTTCCCATCCCCGATCCCAAACTTCAGCTTCTCCAGGAAGGTTTTGTTTTCCATGAGATCCAGTGCATTGAAGACGTCAAATCCTTTCTGCACAGGGAGACATGAAGCCATCAGTTCCTGCTTTTGTGCTGGGGCATTCCTCCCACCTGTGAGCAGCCTGGCCCCCTTTCCTGCCTGGCTTTGAATCCCAGAAAAAGGCAAGAGCTCAGGTTGCTGTAGGACATGAGTAACCACCACAAGCTGGAAGGTTCAAGGTACCCCAGTATCCCTCCCCTGGGTGGCAGATCCTTTTAGATTTGGATTTTTACAGTTCCTGGGAACAAGCCCTTCCCACAAACCTGAGGGTGGCCAGCCTGCAGTGAGCTGCCCAGTGACTTTCCTGGTGAGCTCCTGTGAGCTGCCCAATGCCCCACGGTGCCAGCCCCCCCTGTATCCCTTACCTGTGGGAAATGGATTTGTAGAGAATTCTCAAAGCCTGACAGAAGGCTCACAAAGGGTAATATGAGATTATTTGCTTTAAGGCATTTACAGCATGGTGTAGCAAAAGCTGATAGGCCAAGATCCACTTATAGCGTATTGTAATTAGGAAATAATTGGCTTCTGATTGTGATGGCGTGAATTATAACATCCGTACTGTCTCACCCTTCACATGAGACTGAAAATGGAATAAAAGCTTTTTAAAACACCTCTCAGCTGCCCCTTGTCTGGGTCAGGAAAGGGCTGAGTGCAGCACTCACCGACTTGGCGAGGATGAGCGCGTCGCTCATGAGGTCGATGAGAGGCGTCTTGGTGTGGACGTTGTAGAAGGAATAAGCAGCTTTCAGGCTCTTGTGAGTTGGGTGGTTCATGATGGTGGAGGGCAGGGTGTAAAAGCTCAGGAAGTCTGTCACCTCTCCTGGGGCACTCTGGAAGGCAGAAGGGACATCATGACATGTCAGGCTGGGATAAAGCCTGGCCAGAGCCTCAGAGGGGCTCTCCCAGTTGGAGTGGTAGCTGCAGGGCCCAGCATGGAAGCATCATCCTCCAGCAAATTCCCATCCTGGAGGGGCATGGAGCTCCTCCCTGATTGCTCACACAGCTCCAGTAGAGGCAAAAGCCCAGGAAAACACCCCTCCCATCCTGCTCCTGCCCCTCACCTCTACCACGAAGGTGTCGATGATGTTCTCCTGAGGGACGAACCAGTGCTCCACCTCCTCTCTGCTCATCACGGGTGTCAGGTGGAACTGCTTCAGGTACTCAGTCAAGAGCTTGTGCACAGCAGGGATGTCCTTGTGCTCCATGGGCCGCAGGCCGGGAGTCTTGGGAGTCTGCAGAAAGTGGGACAAGTTGTTCTGTGGCTTGCACAGTGCTTTTCATCACCCAAGGGCTCTCCAACGAGCAGCACAGAGACACTCTGCTTACATCAGCCCATTTTCAGCCCCCCAGCCCTCTGCGCCCAGCAAAGGATGGATGTGATCTGCTGTGACACCAACGGCAAAGATCACAGAGAGCACAGCATGTCCCAAACCCCCAAGTGCAAGGTCAGGTCCCACTGGAAGTGCTCCTACCCACTAACAACACAAACTCTGCTTCCCTGCAGGTTCCTGTTCCCACTCACAGCAGGCACAGGCTGGGAGACATGTCCCAGGCTCCACAAGATGTTATTCCCAGTTGGCCTCAATTACTAATTTAGGGTTGGGATGGCTCAGCAAGCCCAGATCTGCTCTGGGGCTGAGTTTCTATGCAAAAACCAGTAGCTCCAGCCCAGCAACTGCTGTCTGTGTGGCTGTGGGAGGCAGGAGCTGGGAGCTGCCCAGCATGAAAGCAGCACTTTGCACCCCAAAGGGGTGACAGAAAGGAGCCAACAAGGTCAGGAA